CTGGGGGAAGTTATTTTTTCATAAGGTCAGCTAAGTGAATAGCTTTTTACCTCTTAACAAATGAAAACCAAATTGTGTCCTTATGGGTCATCACTGAATGGAGAGAAAAAAAATCAGCTATCCAAACTTTTATCCCTTTACCACTGCATTATGTTGATTTAAATCAAATTAAAAATGGGCACAAAAGCCATTTAAAAAAAGCAGCACGAGCAAAATGCAGCATTTTTAACACATCCCAAAATAAGTTATTTGGGATATTGAATCCTCAAGATTACTACAGACAACCTGGCCAAAAGCCTTTACTAAATGAAATAAACTTGATATTCCATCTCAGCAGCAAAAATGCTTTGGGAGGAAAAAAAGAGGTGAAAATAAAAAGATTAATTGGATTTGAAATTGATTGGATTTTTAGATGAGAATATAGGAGGACTTTGTGTTATTAAATACAAATGGGTTTTACTCACAGAAATATTTGAACGTCTCTTCAATCTGTTCATATGTGAGTCCCAGTACGACATCTTGTGGCACCAGAGGGGTGTGCAGCCAGTCGTCATTGTCATATCCAAACACTGTATCTGCTCGAAGGGTGTACTTGGGCTGACCTTCTGACAGCAGACTTACTATCTCCAGCTCCGGCAGGTCTGAGCAAAGGTCTGAGCGTTCCAATAGTTTGTGAGGTTCATGAATGGACAGGTTTGAGAATAGTGGGAAGAGGAAAGAAAAGAACAAAAAAACATTTAAACAAACAGTAGTCACTCACAATGTTATACTGACTTCTAGTGGTAAAACTATGTATTTAAAATGATCCAATGATCTTTTGTAAACTCATGGCCTAAAGTTTGTTGTTGTGTAGGTGTTGCATACTTTTGTGCTGATAATCCACATGTTTTGTTAGATCAATTTGCAGAATGATGAGGTGCATATATTTTTTTCATTGCAATGAGCTTAAAATAGCTGCATAAAATATGACCAAAACCACATTTAAGTTTAATTTAAAGATACACCAACACATTGGCCTCAAGATATTCTTGTCCAATGTGAGTGTTTTTTTGTTAAATAGGTAGATATTTTCAGTGATTACATAAATGCCTTCAGCAGCCATGCCTTGGGATCAATAAGGCACATGCATTACCACTCACTCCAGTTGTGGTTTAAAGCTACAGTGTGTAATTTTTAGCGACATCTAGCGGTCAGACTGCAGACCGCAGCAACATGAACATCTCCCCCCCACCGCTTCTCCCCCCCAACAGTACGGCGAGCATTATGGGACAAAATGTCTTCCACGACGTCCGCATCACCTACCTTCTCAAGTGATGAGGTTTGTTTACATAGATCATTTTACAGATAGTATTCTCAGGCATAATACTGCCATCTATTGTTCAGTACCGTCTCAGTTCATCTCTCTCAACTTGCCGTAGTTACTTTCGAGCGTAATGGGCGATCTCGCAATCGCTAGTTTGTTGGCTCTGCGCTGCCGTAGCGCAAAGATGTCTGCCTCCATGGCTGCTAGACCCGCTCCTATGTAATTATAAATAACGAATTCTAAGGCAACGCAAATATTAAGGTTAAGAGGCTGAGCTCGTAGATGATGATAAATAACATAGTTATGTATAATATATTACATTTCTGACTTTATATCCCTGTAATTATTACACACTGTAGCTTTAAGTCAAATCGGCCTTAAGAATCAATTAAAAAATTATTACATAAATAAATCACTTGGTGGCAAATGTCAGAGATCGGTTGGAATAATGTCAAAATAACTGTCCCCGGTACTGGTCTTAAAAGACCACTACTGCAATTTAATTTCAGCATCATTAACAAATATAGATGAAACACTAAAAAGCAGACCAGGTGCTTTTCAATGGTGATTTTCTCTGATGAATGTTTCTTCTAACTTTTTGGGACCTCAGGAAAAATCTTTTGTCCAGATATGAAAGTACTCTAACTAAAACAACATCTCTGTTGGATGTTTCCCACCCCATACATGAAGCTGTTGCTGAACTGGAAAGCTCCTTCAGTGACAGACAGCTGCACCTTAAATGCACCAGGGAGCGTTATCACAGATCCTTCCTCCCAGCAGCTGTAAGACTTGATAACCATCACTGTTCCCAACAAACTCAATAAGTTGTTACATTCATGCTGATTTTTTGCACAGTTTTAAGTCTTAATCACTTAAATAACATGCTGCTGTCATTGTTTGTACATCTCTGGTGTTGCTGCTATTTTCACATATCCACTGATGTAAACATGTCCACAGCTTTATAGTGATTATGCATCTCCAGATACACAGTTTTTATATTTAAAAAAAAACTGTACAGTACAGTATTTTATTAGTTTATTGTTATTTTTATACATTTTTTACGGTCCACATTGTGACCACTTTCACTACAACCTTTTGCCTCTGCTTTAACAACAATTTTTCCTTACTGTGTCCAGATACAGATACAATCAATGTGTGGACAGAGAAATGTTCTTCTCATCCCAGAGAAGACTTAATCACAGTTCAGCCAAAAGAACAAACATAATTAGAACTGAATTAAAACATCCTCAAAAAGTAATTCCCAATGACCCAGATATAATCTAATTAAAGTCTATGTATTTTACAACATGGCAGAGCACCATGCCACAAGGCAAAAGGTAATTAAAAGTGTCTCAATGATTAACACATGGATATATTGGACATTAGGACACTCAACCCCCCCAAAACATGTCATCGGTTCTTAAAAAGTAGGTAAAGAACAAGCCAAGGATTTGTGATGAAAGCATTAAATGGTACACCAACAGTAAGGATTTGGCCGCAAAGATACTATCCAGAATATGGGTAGTGCTGCAATGATTAGTTGACGTAGTCAACAACATCCATCATGAAAATAGTTGACACACATTTCTCAATTACATACTGTACAGACCAAAAGTTTGGACACACTGTCTCATTCAAAGAGTTTTCTTATTTTTATGACTATGAAAATTGTAGATTCACACTGAGGCATAAAAACTATGAATAAACGCATGTGGAATTATATACTTAACCAAAAAGTGTGAAACAAGTGAAAATATGTCTTATTCAAAGTAGCCACCTTTTGCTTTGATCACTGCTTTGCAAGCTCTTGGTATTCTCTTGATGAGCTTCAGGAGGTAGTCCCCTGAAATGGTTTTCACTTTACAGGTGTCCCCTGTCAGGTTTAATAAGTGGGATTTCTTGCCTTATAAATGGGGTTTGGACCATCAGTTGTGTTGTGCAGAAGTCAGATGGATACACAGCTGATAGCCCTACTGAATAGACAGATTTTTTATACAAATTGCCATAATACAATAATTGCCAATTCTCTGTGTATGGTTTAAATTGGATGCATTTCACGAAGGCAGCTGCTGGTAGCAGTGTGGCGTCGGTTCAAAAGACCACCTTGTCACAAGACTCACTGACTCGGAGAGCAGTGATTGCCAAAAAAAGAGGGAAAAAAGAAAAGTTGTAAAAATTTTAAAAATCCTTTCTTAGACAAAAAACTACATTTTAGATTTTTTTTTAGGCAAGAATATAACACTATAAAGCCAAAATATATGCTCAGTTTCTTAAGATATGGCTTAAATGTTTAGGTACTCTGATGTTTTCTATACTCATTCGCTACATGTATTTCACCTTAGATTTGTTTTAGGTTTAGGAATGAGTCATGTGCATTGGGGCAAAAAAGTATTTATTCGACCAACAATTGTGGAAGTTGTCCTACTTCAAATGATAAGAGAGGTCATTTATTGTCATGATAGGTACACTTCAATTATAGAATTAACATTGTAGGATTTTTAAATAATTGGTTTGTAAAGTACAGTGAAAAATAAGTATATAACATGTCTGTCCCTCACACCTGTGTAACTTCTTTAGGAATTTATTCTATCTTATACTCACTACCTGTATTAATGGCACTTGTTTAAACTCATCCTCTGTATAAAAGACACCTGTCCAAGGGCTTAGATAGTCAGACTCCAAACTTAACCATGGCAAAGACCGAAGGGATGGTGAAAAACACCAGGAATAAATCTGTAGACCTGCACAATGCTGGGAAGAGTTAATCTACAATAGCCAAGCAGGGTGGTGTGAATAAATCAATTGTGGGAACATTGTAAGAACAGGGAAGACATATAATGTAAGACTAATAATCTCCCTCCCTCAAGCTCATCCCATGGGATTAAAATAATCATGAGAACGGTGAGCACAATCCCATAACTACATGGACGGACCTGAGGAATGACCTGCAGAGAGCTGGAGACAAAAGTAACAAGGGTCCATTTCTGCGGTGCCAAATGGTGTCCCACCTCTCATGTAGGTACATGGCCCGGCTCGTCTGGAGTTTGCCAGAGAGCATATGGATGATCCAGAAGAGTATTAGAAGAAGATTATGTGGTCAGATAAAAAAACTAAATATAATTTTTTGGCAAAAACTCAACTCTTTGTGAGAAAGAAGAATGCTGAGTTGCATTCCAAGAACACTATACCATATATTGTTGAGTAAACTACTACTTAGTAATACTACTTAGTTGATCCTCCATAATGCTCAACTAACCATCTATTTACCATTTCAAAAAATTTAAATGAAACTTTTTTATGTATGTACAAATTTAAACAATATCAATGTCTTTCATGAGGCCCAAAATTCATGGCGCACTGCTGACTGCTGCTTTATGAGCAAAGTCTGTCAGACAAAGACATCTTTCCAGGTTTTATGATTGATATTCATTGTTTGCTTTCATTAGTTTCATTTATTTAAATGTTTTATGCTGTTTGTTTTATGTACAATAGTTAAGCTTTTAGAAATGTAATTTTCTACCTGTTATAGTAGAAGCATCATTATAGGATTGCTGCCCTGAGTTTCGACCATTCTTTGGTGTAGACTGCTGGAGAGGCTGGGGGTCCTCATCCAGGGCCCCCGGTGCCTCCTTCTGCCCCTCATTGGGGTAGAGCGCTGACTGGGAGTCCAGATGGACCTGTGGATGCCAGGAGGAAGGAGAATGACAAGCCGAAGGAGAGGAGGAAGGAGAGGATGCAGGGTGGGACAGCTTGCCTCGGTATGGAAGGCTCAGGTTGAACAGGAGCGTACAGCTGGGCACTCGTTGGGTCTTAGGGACCAAATAAAAATATTTAAGTCATTTGAGCCTCAGGGAATTTACAGGTAAAACCTGTATAGGAAAGTACAAGAGAAGAGAGAAAAAAACAGAACACATGATTAGAAAGATTTAGGGGTCACTTTATACATACAGATCTAAGCCTTTATCTTAGAAAAAATAAACAGCATCTTTAGTTTACAGCATATAATAAGCTCGTCAAAAGAGAGGAAAAGTATGTTTCACATCTGTAGTCAGAACAATGGCTTAGTTAATTATTCAGTTTTTTCTCTTTCTACATTAACATTTCTTTTTATTCAAGGACAATACAAACAGCAAATACTTTTATTTCCGCAAATATTGAAGATGCACATGAAATAGTAGGAAACAATATTTTTTTCTCACTTTAGTGTTTATAGAAAATAAGTCACACGTTTAAAGATAGAAAAAAATTAATAACTAGTTTGTAATAAAGAGGGAAGGAGAATGACAGGGCAGTCTTTGAGTGGTACAGAGTTTGCAATGCCACCTGCTGAATGACCCTACAATGAAAACGACAGATCAGTAGCTCCATTCTGGTCTCCATAATGTATATTTCTGACAGCTGCCTCTTCTGCAGATCTTTCAGCATTGCTGGTGAGACCTCCCATCCTTACATTATCCCCTTACCCTCAGGGAGAGGGTACCAGAGCCTCCAAAAACACTCCTAAGCAGCATTATTGACCAGGTTGTCAGGAAGCTGAACTCTGTCCACTATCTTCTGACTGATTCCTACCCCTTTATTCCACCACTAGTATTGCTTTAATTGTTAAATTCACTGTAACAGTAGTGGCAGTCATTTTAGTTCATGTTTTCACCACTAGAGGTAGCTGTGGCACCTTTGATGCCATAAATAAGTTCATTTTAAAGCTTTTATTTTTAAGTGCTGTGTTTTCTTTTTATTTTATGGTTTTTATTAGCTATGAAATCAAAGAAGAGCAGATTTATGTTTTGAGTAACTTATGATGGTGAACAGTTGATAAGTTAAGTTTCAGAATACGGTGACGTCCCTTCCAGTTCTTCGTCAAGATAGGCAATAAGTGATGCAAACAGACTCTACAAGAGCAACAGAGAAGAAAGACAATGGTTTTCAAGCTTATGGTTCGTCCAGTAGCAGGCCAAAGTGGTATGTTTATTATTTTAGTTACTTAAATTATAGGTTAAAAAAAAAGTATATTTTGTATAAGTTGCTGCAAGTAAAGTAATATTGCGTTTATGCTCTATATATAGATACAAGACCACAGTAAACATCAGTTTATGGAACTCTGGTGTCTTTCTTGTGTGGATAACCTGGCATATTCACTTTCTCCTGTTTTCATTTCATTATCCAGGTTATCTAAGGAGAAATATGATATTTAGATTTATATGTATGTTCTAACTAATGTTGAGTTGACAAATTAAGATGATTGATTAATTTATTGATTTGTTATCTTTCTTTTCTATAAAAAAAATATTTATCTGCTATATTTCTAATGTGATCCAATTTTTATAAGGTATTAAATCTTTCCAAGAGATATAAAAAAGGATTTTTATCAAGATAAAGATCCAATCCTCTGCTGACATTAAAACTTTTTGTTAGACTAAACAGTGATTTGCTATTACAGAGATGCCTCCATTGAGGTCTGGGTTTTAGGGTAACAAAAACATAGTTACAACAGCTTGGAGCAACAGAGATCAGGTTTTTCATCAAAGCATTTTATTACTATAAACACAATGTAAAGCTAGAAGTAGTGGTTGGCTGTGTGAATCACACACAAAGCACATCCCTGCCCTCAAGCTATGGCTGGCAATACAAAGTCAGGATCTCATCTGAGAGTCCTAGATAGTGATACCTTTGAAAACAAGGCTTTAACATCATTCTGCAAACAGGGATTGTTCTTAACACAAATGTTTGCTTTCTTAAACATTTCAAAAGGATTATGTCATTTAAGTATGGTTTTTAGCAGAGTTTGGATCTTTTTATTTATTTTTTAATACAGTAGAATAAAAATACAGTATGTACCCAATTAAAAGGTTTAAAGTCGTTTTGATAAGGTGCCAAAGATATTGCTGAACTGACTGAAGGTGTTTTCCTTAGTTGTGCAGGGCTTTGAATGAGTCTATCCTTTCTTACACAGTGATCTGCCCTCCCAGGCTGAAGGATAAAAGAACAAGGCCAAGACAGTCATTTTAGCTTTTTAAAAATAAATGTTTCCTAGAGTATATTCACTATTATCAGGTGTTCTTTTGCCTTACATGTAATGAAATCCAGACCTAACCAGTCATTACATTACTTTGCCAAAATATTCCACGGCCAGATTTTACTGGTAATACAACAAAATGGAGGTGACTAGAAGTAACAGTAATTATACCAAAAATATGTAGGTAAACGGTTTTCTGCAGAGTCTTTAACGGCAGACCCCCAACGTTAATGTTGGGTTCTGATTAGCACAAGAAAAAGTTGAAGGTGGTGAAGGTCTGTGAAGACAGGAATTATGCTGTGGAGAGGTTTTCAGAACTTCCAACTCTGTGGGAACAATTTAGGCCCCTTCCTGTTACAGCACAACTGTAAACCAGTGCACAAAGCAAGGTTCATGAAGAAATGAATGCATGTTTGGTGTGGAAGTCTTTAAAGACCTCAACCAAAAATAGGTCTAAGACGAGCAGTTCTCAAACCTGGGCTACGTTTCACGAAGCAGGTTTACCAAAAACGTTAAGTTTTCTAAACCTGAAAACAGGGGAACTCTGACTTTTCACAAAGAGAGTTTATTCAACCTCTGTTTCAGTCACCGTAGTAACATTTTCCCCAGAGCTAAGCTGGTCGATAGCAGGTTTTCTTCAGTAAACCCAGTGTCCTCTGTCTCCAGGCAGTCTCCTTACAGCCAATCACGCCGTTTTATTTTCTGATTTAGTATGTTTGTTGTAGTTTTGTGCATACACACATACATATATATATATATATATATATATATATATATATATATATATATATATATATATATATATATATATATATATATATATATATATATATATATATATATATATATATATATATATATATATATATATATTATTCACTATGTACCTAGACACATTAGATTTTAAAAACAAACATTGGATGTCCATTTGACAAGGATCTTATTAAATAATGATCAGCACTTTTTCACAGAGAATTTAATATTTATAGGGAGAGAATTCTACAACTCAGTTGACAGGGCATGAGATTACTTGTTTTTTATTTGTTCAATACGAGTGAATTGCGGCTAATTTTATTTTTATTTAGTTATATTTACAGTACACGAAGAGCAACTGAAATCACTTTCAGATTACCCATAAATAGATTCATAATTCCACTGCATAAAAGGAATTACGTTAGGGTTAGTATTAGGATTCACTCGATGATAACAACCTAATGAGGCTACTGGCCAAATCTGAAGCCATTCTATGATCCTGATAGGCTCATGACGGACTCATGAGATGGTGCACAAGTTCTATATATTAGAACAATGTTTTTAGACTTCGTTTTCACCTGCTGCTAGAAGATTTCACCTAAATAGATACACTGATCTATTCACAACAGGCTATGGCAAGCCGTTTTGATATGTACTAGTTTTATTCAATATGTATTTGTGATATCTGGAAAAAATATATATATTCTTTGTCTAAATGACAATCTAAAAAAATTACATTCTCCACACCAAGAATAAACATTCTGGATGTCAATAAACCAATTTCAGATCTCCATATTCCTAATAATATAAATGGTCAGCATTTGTACTGTTTTAAATATAAAGAAATGTGTTTCAGATATCAGAAATACATACTCAGCCAAGCTGATATATTTCAGAATGGACATATTTTGTAGATATATAAAACTTATATAAAAAAAATTCTTACTAGTACAATTTTGTTCTCTTACTTTCTAAAATTCAGTTTCTGCTACAAAAATGTAATTTAGAAAATATATTATAATGGTTAGGTCTAGGAGTGTGATTTTTATCAGGAAGATTCTTATTTTAGTGATCTAAAAATGGAACAGAGAGGAGAGTTCTTTTAATAAATGTAAAAACGGCCTGCCGTTGTCCACTTCATATAAATGTACGCATTAACTCAAGCAACAATCTTTTCCTTCGCCATATTGCTCTCTGATGTAACTGTAGTGGTGTTTCTGTCTTTTTAACACATTTTCCTTTTATATTTTACTTTATTCATGTTTCTGCATTAAAATCTCTACTTCCAGTGGGGTGAAATAGGCACTTCCTGTTGTCATGGTGACTCATCGAATCGGTGCTCCACTGATAATGTCTTTTCATACTTGTTTCGGATGTGCTAAACTCTGAGTGGTTCTACTTAGAGGTGATTGAACTAATTTATAGCAGCCATTGTGGAAATGAAAACTCAGAGTTCCCAATATTAGGCTAGAGTTTGTTAAACCTGCTTCGTGAAACAGACCCCTGATCCTCAAGTATCACTGCCCTGCATGTTTTAGATGTCTCTCTGTTGCAGCACTCCTGATTCGCTTAATTGTATGACCTCCTTAGCAGTCTCGAACTGCTGGAGAAGCCTGTTACTCAGTCATTTATGTAAGTAAGGTTTGTGGAAGTGAGGAGAAATCTAAAACATGCAGGGCAGAGGTGCTTGAGGACCAGGATTGTGAACCACTGGGCTGGATCATATGACCAAAACCTATATTACAACATATTATCCTATTTTGGTTGATAGAATATAATTCCGAATTTGATATGTCTCAAACATTTCTCTTCCACCTCTGCCATGGACCTTCCTGCTTCTATGAGTTTGTTCTCAGCCACATCAGAAGAGGGTGCTGCTCCTTCTATCTTTCACCTGTCTGCCTCTAGAAGTCAAGTAAAGAGGAAATTGGAGACACTGAATCACAGTTATCCTGTTCCTGATGGTGTCAGCCCTATAGTCCCAAAGGCCTGTTAAGATCAGCTCTGTGGGATCCTTTAGCCTTAGCCTGACCCAGGAGACTATTTCACGACTTAAAAAACTTTTTGCCTCGTTCTGGTACCAAATGAAATTCAATGACAATA